CAACTTATTGATCGACATTCAGCACTACAAACGTCGCATAAGGAAGATTCCGACCGCATTCCATTCACTCTCACGTTTCACCCTCACAACCACTCAGTTAAATCCATCATTCTTAAAAACTTTAAATTACTTCAAAACGATCCAGAGACAAGCACTATCTTTTCGCAGCCTCCGCTCATTTCATTCAAACGCGACAAAAACATAGGCAATTTTTTGGTCAGAAGTTCTTTTCAGACTAATGACCAACCAGGCACTTTTAAATGCGCTCGTGCACGATGCAAAACGTGTCCTTTCATTCACAACACTGAGAAAATATCGGGACCCAAACGATCCATTAAGATCACCGATCACGTCACGTGCGCCTCCGCCAATGTAATCTACTGCATAACTTGCACTTATTGCAAAAAGATATATATCGGCGAAACAGGCAGAAGACTAGGTGACCGATTCCGAGAACACCTTCACGACGTGGAAAGGAATGATAGGGACGCATCGAAACCAGTCGCTAGGCATTTTAATTTAGCTAATCATTCTAAGCAACAAATGGCAATCTGCGGTCTTTCCTTTCACTTTGTAGCACGAAAAGCCGTAAAACTCTTGAACATAAGCTCATCTTTCAAACCGACTATCTAAATCCCACAGGTATCAACGAACGCTTTTCATTCCACTACTTTATTCGTGTTTTTCTCGTTGCCATGTTCCCACCAATAACGTAGCTCCATTTTCTGCCTTTAAAAGCACACACAACACACAATTCTTCTATTCGCTCTGACGAAGGGCTAACGCTCCAAACGTCAGCTTTTGTAATCGTTACGGTGGCCAATTTACCATTTTACCTTTGTTGGTATATCCAAATTATTTCGTTACCCCGACCGACGCAGCCCCAAACAGTTTCTTTAGAAACTATCAGCCTGTACTCAATATCAAGTCATACTCGGTGAACAGACCAGTGAATGAAAAATGAACCAAATGCCCTTCAATTTCTTTGTCACACGACAGCAAAGGTACTATTTGCCTATCCCAATTCTATCTTTTGGATTGTAGCTACAATAATCCAAAACAAGAGATTGAAATGAACAACAAATCTCCATTCTTCATTCTTCATTCTTCATTCTTCATTCTTCATTCTTCATTTCCATTCTTCGTCGTTTGCTATGCAAGGCTAGCTTATTGTATTGATTTCCTAATCGAACATGGTGCTAAATGCCTAAATCGATTATATCGTGGCGTAAACGCCGACGTTGCGATTTTCACAAAGTTCATCCTAGTTTTTCCGCGTGGACATGAAAAAACCCAAACTAATTTTTATATCCTCGAAAACACTACTTACACTAATCATGAGCTTAACCTGAACCGATTCTGAGTTATACCGCATGGGAAAATTGATAATTGAAAATTTTCTAAGAAATACGATATTTTGATTTTGAAATATTGGTGATTTATAAAAGCGTTTCGCGAGCCCCAAATTAAGTGAAACAGTCCCGTTTTAGAGCTAAACTATACCGAATCCTTCCTATACAAATTTATAAAATTGATAGGGGCTTGCTTTCTTTTGCGCGTTCATTTGCCTCTCGGGGCACTGATTTCCGCCATTTTACGGCTACCGACGCTCGTGCCAGTTTTCGTGAATTTTCTAGCTAGGATAAAGAAGCAAGTCTGGTGAAAAAAACCTTACCATATTTCTATGTTCACTACAAGGTGTCGCTGGGCAAAGTATGAAGGTCTTAAATTTTTTGACCATGTGCCACACTTTACGATTTTCACTCGGTAAATTCACAAAGTCGCTCTTGACATGTTTTCTTTGAGGAAAGCATGCGAAGATTATGTAGACAAGGAAATTTTCCTCTCCAGATTCCAGGAAAATCTAAATCATCTTTAATTAACAAGCTTCCAATAATAATTCTCTCATGTCGAAAGTTTGTTTTCCATCTATCAAAAATCATTGATTGAAAATTTGTCTAGAAAGACTTGTGCTGAAACATATTGATTTCGATTTAAATCTTAGAGGGTAAGAAAGTAATACCGAACGTGACAAAAAGATCAAAATAAAAAGCATACCATACGTCTTCCTAGTTCCCATGAGTTTTTTCTTGAACTTAAGGAAGTCAGTTTCGACGGATTTCACTACGAGAGTTCACTTTTGGACCGGAAGTTGTTTTCACAGATATAGGACAATTTGTAAAGATTGAAACCAGCAGAACGTTTATTCTACAAGGTAAGGAATAATTTCTTATGTTTTAGTCGACGCTTAATGATAATACCAGTGAGTCATGCCGCCGTTGTTTCCGTGTTTCATTTCAACATGGCCAAGACAAAAAATTTCCTAGAAAAGAAGAAAGTTGGTTCTCGCGCTCACGTCGTGATTGAGCTGTTGATGAGTTAACGATGATGAAGAAAAACCAATTAGACAAGCTGTCCAAACTTATCTCATGAATTGAAATTGAATGTGCGAAACAAAATTTTAAATCGTATAGAGGAGATCAGATATTTGAAAGCCTGAATTTGTATACAGAAGGGTATGCTGACTTTGTTTACACCAGAATAACGGTGGCTTTCCGTACGCTTTGTCAGAAAACAATTTTGACTCACACTTTTGTACATTCGTAAACCACCTTATCTTGATCACTTACCTTTAGTTAAAAATTTGTCACAACGGAAGCACCACACAGAGAAAATGGAAATAAATCAGCAACGAACTCAGAAGCTTCTTCCTTGTGACAAGAGCGATGTCTTAAGCAGTAGTATCAAAATTGCGACGACAAGTCGAGACATGATGCATATTACGTAAATGATAATAGATGTCTCTTTTGTGTTTGACACCTTTCACGTGTCAGGCGTTGTGACGGAAAACTAAGACGTCTGACAAAACAAAAAACTTGACCTTACAATCAATTAGATATTAATTCACCAAGAAGTGTCAAGCTTTTTCGAAATTCGAAACATTGTTCTTGTGCAATTCGGGTGCGTCACAACCGCAATATTTTTTATTGCCGAACTGTAAAATAGATTTTCTCAGTAACAAATAGAAATATGTAAAAAAAGTCCTACACTGTGTTAGCCTTAGGGCTGAGTAGAATAATCCGAATTTTTTTTAGTCAAACGGGATGTTTACAAAATTTGAAAATATTTGACGATTTTTAGATGATAATTCCTGGAAAATTATAGCCTTTGGCTATTCTGTTAGTTTCAATAGCTTTTGTTTAGCACTACATTATAAATTCAAATGTAATTTCAAATCAGTTGTACTCTCAACTGAAGATGGTCGTTGAACGACCGAAACATGTCTTATAAATTTAGTTTCAAATGTGTCGTTATTTTTAAAAAAATTATACAGCCACATTTAAATGGCGATTTGGCTAACCTTCCTTTACTTTATTTCGCTAATGATTTTGACAACCGAAAGTGTTCTTCCACCTCTGTGATGATAAGTTTTCGTGCCCAAACTGGACTTTCACGAAAGGTTCAACAAAACGGGAGGAACTAGCTTAGAAGGGACGACTCCGCAGCGAGAACGAGAACTCGTCACGACTCCCTGGAACAGGCGACCTCTCCCACTGCATAAAATATTCTGTATAAGGACCCTTCCTTGGGGCGTATTTTTTCAGTCAGTATGCCCAATTGTATACGGTGGATGTAAGGATGCGTAAGGTCCATTTAATTATCAGTACACGTCAGGGTATGCTAAGAAAATACCAGGACCGTATACACAAGTGGTATAATTTCTTATATTTCAGTATCCATGCCATTATACATCATGAATACTGTGTGTGACATGCGATATACTGGTATGTATACTCGGCAGATATACATACTCTCATTTTCCCTTCTCCATTTACGTAACCGTACGCCATGTTGAAGTGGCGTCGAAGAAGGGAAAGAAAGACTTCAGTGAAACTTCTCTCCAGTCGCCATTTTGTTTGCTGTTGATAGAAATTTGGTTCCAGATCCTCCTGATTAATAATACAGGCTTGGGTTTCATTCAAATTCACGCGGGAAAAACGAAGTTTCCAGTATCAAAACAAAGAGTAAAAATGTCTGAAGTTGTTTCTGCTTCCAAAAGACAGAAAAGAGAATGGGCACTTTAGCTTTATTCAGAACCCCCTCTTCCCTATGCCAAACAACAGGCTTCTCAGCAATATGAATTCCTGTTTTGTGTGGAGATTCCTTGGCCACTGTTACGCTTATTGGATTTTAATGCTCTTGAGTGTAACATATATACCGCTGACAATTGTTAACGGGCTCGTAATTTCCACGATTTCTGGTAATGGAAAGTTGGCAAAAAAAAAAAAAAAAAACCTGTTACTGATTTACATTTATGACAGGTCCAAGCAATTTACAACAAATACTTGCATGGATGAAATATTTCAGAGATGGGTACTCCAATACAACATCCTTCACCAATTTAGGGTAAGTTATGATTTCATGGCCGCGGAGCGGGAATGTTTTGTCCATGAAATCCTTATGAGCTTTGTGCTTTCGGGGATTTTCCTGACTTCATTGTGATTTTCCCCAGCAAAGGCTTTTAAAGTTGCCAGTCTCACCTGCAGGTAAGTCAGGCTGCTTTACCCAAATACTGAAATATTTTTTGTGCGTTTTGCTCATAGAGGACCAACTCCAGCAGGATCAGCTGGACGTTTGGGTTTTGGACTTTTTTTATCCTGTTGAAAATCTTGACCTCCAAATAGCCCTGGAAAAGGGTCAGGACATTGCATAAATGAGTGCATAATTTTTTTGCATGTTTGTTAGTAAACTTAACTCAACGTTAATGATATTACTTTCAATGTGTAGAGTTCACATCGTCTCAAGTGTTTCAGTTGGCACCGAACCGACTGGTCCCGTTGCAATGGTAGCTCTGATGGGGGACCCAATGGTGGTCTTTGAGAGACTGATCAGTGGCCTGGAGAGCGCATCAGCACTAAAGAAAATTGAGAGAGGCCATTGCCCTGGAGATGAGGTAAAAGCAACGGAAGGTGTAACCAACCTTCTAATATGTTTTTAAGAGCGTGACCACGAGAAAACCGGACAGGGGGCGATAAACCTCAAATCACTGATTTCGCTCAAACTTGACACATATGCTAAGTATTGTGAGTTAACGCGTGAAAATAGTAGGTCAAAATATTTAATTCCTGGGAGATATAGGGTCCGCCTGGCAAAAACCCCATTTCCTGCATTTTTTGCATAATTAATTAGCAGCTAACTTTACATTGCTGTTGCGACAAACTGAAAATCCATCTGCAAATTAAATTAACTGGGTTGTATTTTATATCTATCAGACTTATAGAAACTTGAACTGTTTTAACTTTTTCATTTCATTTCCTCTCTTACCTCTCGCTTAAGTAAAGACGACTTTTTCTGGTTTTGACATAGTCCTAAAATAAAGGTATTTTAAGGCCCAATATCTCTGATGAGCAACCACTTCTGATCATTATTCTTATATTGGTGGTGAAAGCCATCACTGGAATTTCAAAATCAGTAATAAAAATTTTGGGCATTTTATTCATTTATTATTATTTCATGTCAGTCCGTGCTGACATGAAATTTACATCTACCTCCAACTTTTTTAGTCTATATCATTAAAACTCCGTACACCACATCTTTGTTTTAAACTTAAAATAACTTGAAATTTACAAGAGATTTCCTAGAGAGTATCGTTTAAACATAAACAAGGAGAGCTAACCGTTTAGCTCAATGGATAGAGCGCCGAACTGTTGAGCGGGAGTTCGAGGGTTCGAGCCCAGGCCGGACCAACACTCAGGGTCTTCAAATTACTGAGGAGAATGTGCTACCTTTCTATAATATCAAGAAAGAGATAGACATTCTAGTCGTCTCGGATAAGGACGAATAAACCGTAGATCCCGTCTCTTGCAGGGTTGGAGTAGGAGACGTTAATTGCCCACGCACGAGATCGCTGTGTGGTGGATGTCCTCCCATGGGGTGGGATGGATGGGTACCAGGGCCCGCAGTAATTGGCGCAAGCTGTTGTGGGGTCCTTGCCTGTCGGCGAAGCTATTAAATTGATTGTTCAGAATATTTGAATAGCGCAAGTTGAGCCATTTTTGAGAACTTTTTTCGCAGCCATATTTGGATTATTCTCGAGGAAACGCAGCATTTGATAATGAACATTAAGGGTGCAAGTAGTCGAACTTTCTGACAAAAGAAATCAGGAAGAAACTTTATAGTACATACATGTCTCTCTGGTACCTCAGTTGCAACTATTGGCTTGATATCACTTGTTAGATAATTAAGTAGCCATTATGTCAACAATGTACCAGATTCGATTTACTTCGTTGCCTTGTTGAAATATTAAACGCAGACAGAGCTCTCAGAAAGATCCACCAAAATGATTGGTCTTTTACGGCGTGATACTTATCGACTTACATGATATGTGTTGGTGTTGATATGCGGTTACTAGTTTTGCGTGGTATTATTGCTTACATATCAAAAATTTGTTATTGTTTTTCTAACTTTTGGCCTTGTTCTTTTCAAATTTCAGGGTGCGATAAAGTTCGGAAGCGAGTCACCCTGATGGTGGTGATTATTAGTGGAATATTTACAATCTGTTGGGGCACCCTCCAAGTGTTATACAGCTTACTTTACTTTACTTCCTACGAAATAAGCCCTGTCGTTGTGGCTATTTCTAACGCGATGGTTTTGTTCAACTCCGCCGTCACTACATCTGAAGAAGGCTGGTTTGACCAGCCGAAATATAGTGCTCCGTCTTAAAACGTATCTACGGTGTATGGTCTTGCCTCTATATTTATATTCCTTTTCTTTTTACACTCTGTCCAGCCAAAACTTCAGGGAGAAAGTGAAGGGAATGATATCCACATCTAAAACGATGATTCATCCAACAGGGGAGGGTGAAAACATCGATCCTAACACAACCCCACAGTCGGTGTTCAGTACCATCAATGTCGATACCGTGCTGTAAAATCAGTTATCATTTCTTTAAGTTCAGCTGAAGTCTGATATATTTGGAAAGTTACAAATTGCGACTTTATCTCACCTTTAAAAATACGTGAATCGGATAGTCATGGAGAACGTAAGCATGTTTCCTAGGAGAATTCTCATAACATTCATTCCATTGCTCCTCTTTATACCAGGCAACAAGATGGGATACAAATCAAGTATCAATAGCAGCATTTAAAGTATATATCATTTAACATGACTGACTGAAAAAAAAAACAAAACAACAATAACAACAACAAAAGAAAAACAACAAACAACCAAAAAAAAAAAACAACTATGAGCATTTAATCCAAAAACAAAAGCGTATGCAGCGAATATTGCATTTATCATGTTCAGTTCAAAGTTAGGCTTGTTCCCAAGCCCCTTGTCGATGTACTATATGTCGAGTCTTCTTTTTCGCAAATTTATGAAAATCTGTATTTAAACAATTATTGAATTCGGTTTTCGCAAGATATCATGAATTATCAAACCTCTGTCTGTGCTATCTGCCTTCTTATCCCTGCCGCGAAACACTTATCAAGCAAGTGCTTTACATGTTTTAAACATCAAATGCGCTCGCGCACGATGCAAATCTTTTCCTTTCATTCATAATATTGAGGAAATATCGGAACCCACACAATCCATTAAGAGTACTGATCACTTCACATGCACCTCCACCAATGTTATCCACTGTATAACTTGCACTTATTAAAAAAAAATCTACAATGGTGAAACAGGAAGACGACTTGGTGACCGATTCGGAGAACCCATCTGTGACGTAGAGAAAAATGACAAGGACGCATCCAAATCAGTTGCTAGACACTTTAATTTGCCTATCACTCCATTCTTGTATCAACCATATTTGCACCAGTAGCGTAGCTTCATTTTCTGCATAGAAACACACTGACAACCCACAATTCCTCCACTCGCTCTGACGTGCTGGTGATAGCTAATCACCTCCGAGAATATTGTTATAGTTTTGATCAATCTAAAAAGAGCAGAAAGTTGAAATTGTGCGCGGGTACTAAAACATTAGTGTCCTTAAAAAAACTATATTCTGTACCATCGGTGTTAGGAAAGAACTGGGCAGAACCTCTTTTCAAGTTTTCTCCTATAAAATAAAATAATTTCACCACCTTTCGTTCTCGTTGGGTTCTAGAACATTGCGTGGGTGTCACGCACATTATTTGTACATCACAACAATGGCAAATACTGCTGATCCCTTCTGAGGTGGAGTCGCGTTTATTGAAAGTTTAGGGTAAAAGTCTCTGCTCTTCTTCTCCTTGAAATTTTGCTGTTTTTTAGCAAGTCAACAAACCTACTGTTAAAAATTGTTAAAAAAAATCAAACCAAATCGTGATGATCCTAATCAGAGAAACGATAATTTGTTACAGAAGCTACTTGAGTTTTCGTCGAGAAAGTTATCAACTTTTTTCTTGCGATAATCTTGTGCCCTGAGTTTCAAATGATACATTTAGGAGAGTAGGGCAAAGTTTGCCTTTAACATCAGTGGGTGAACAAAGTTGTGATGTTAAAACCTAAAACTGTGCGGACGCTAAGTATTTATGTGAAATAATAATAGAACGTTACCAGTCTCATATTATACAATTATTTGTTTTAGAACACCTGCATTAACCAGAGATAACAGAGTGGCTGTGATTTTGTGCAAATCTGTCATCCGTCTAACGTTTCGTTTGCCCTTTTTCTCTACAAAGCACTCATCAAATCATTCTAGCCCAGTGAACTCGGCGACCACCAACACAATCTCTTTGCACGTCTTAGCGACAATTCAATGACGCAGCTGGGGCAAGGCTTTTCAAGACTTTCTCATGGCATTTTTGAGGCGAAAGACTGGAACTCCTAAATAAACATTCACTGAGAACTATTCTTGAAGATAAAACTAGCTTATACGAGATGCTGTTCCATAGTCTATTAAGCCTTGTTATCTATCAGGAATACTTTACATCTCAGCTTCGTTCATAAGTCCTTCCAAGAGGCCACAGCTAGTTTAGCTGTTAAAGTCGCGAGTTTCCTCATTTAGCCTTCTGATATGCAGTTTAAGTTTTCTGTTTTACTGCCTTATAAGGAAGTAATACCTGCGATAATATTCTTGCGCGGAATTTGTTTTGTCTCCTCTTCCGATTTTTAAGAAAATCTCCGTTATTCTGATGAGGTCAGACCCACACTATCCTGTTTTCAAATTCGGGTTAAAAATATTCAATTTCCCAAAAACTATTTCAACTTTTTTTATTACTTTCAAAGCCAAAAAGCCGCGGTCTCACTGAATTTATCTTCATTGTCTTTATTGAAATGGCAAGGCCTCAGGTTCAGTCAAGATGGCACTCTTGGTTACTTTGTAAAATCTATTAGTAGGTGATAAAAAGGAGATCTGCGTCCAAGCGACGGAAACAAATTTGGCGTTGTTGGTGTAAAAATAAGTTATGGCAAAATTTATTTGAAAAAAGTAAAAAGCAACACTATAACTAAAATTACCTTAAAACTTCTAAAGAAGTCAAAATGTTTTATTTGCAACTACGACCACTAACCTAGTGGCCTTAGTAATCGGCGTAGGTGTACACACGCAAGATTTTTTCCTCTACTCCATTCACAGCAATTAAAGCTTTTATGTGCTAAACCTGTTTTGATAAACATGGTTCAATTTGTTTTCTTGATTTAAGCTACTTAAACTGAACTTTGTTGACTTCAAATCTAGCGCACTGAAAGTAAAAGTTCGTGATTTCTTGAATCATGAAATATTTAGTTTTCTTGTTCTTCGTTTCCGATTTTCATTCAGTTAAACTTGGTTATAACTAAACATGTGCCGCTGATGTAAATCGGGTCCTACTCTGTGGACGACGAAACGTCACATGAAAAAGACACGATTTAATTCTCAATCATCAAAGCTACGTTTTCAATATTCTTTTGACCTAAAAGACTCTTTAGGATAGTAACAA